CAGGCCGCCATTGTAGGCACTATCAGCGGGCTCTTCGTGTTTGTGGTCCAGGGGGATGACAGTGACGGTTTCAAATGTGCAATATGCTGCGGTTGCTCAGGAGCTGGGAGGACAAGACCAGAAGACAGTGAGGAAAGCAGCGAGGGATGGGAGCTTCAAGTACAGCATGGAAGGATACGGCAACAACAGACGGAAGCTCGACATATGCATCTCATGACAGTCTTAAGACCGACGCTGTGTACGCACAATGCACATCTAACGCCGATGACTACTCCGTATAGGACAAAAACAACATGATGCCACCAGTCATGACGGACTTGGGGATGTCTAGATCGGACGGCAGGGCTACGAAGAAGCACTCGGACCGTTAGGGGGGAGACGCGATGGTGTGAGGAGCCCGGCAGTGAGCTGCAGCTACGCGAGACGACAGACCTCCCTTCTGCCGAGCGGAAGGCCTAGACACCGGCCGGGCCAACCCCCCAGCGAGTCCTGTCGTCGGGTATAGAAGAAAGAACGGCAAGACTAGACCAAGCGGGGAGCTATGGCCCTTCGAGATTGGTGAGAATAGGAGGTTGTACATCCCTAGCTTAGCCTAGTCTAGCCTGCTTCCTTCGAAGGGTGGGGTATAGGGCAATCTGGGGGTTGTAGGGTGGCATGGTAGTGGGCTGGCAGGCTGCCGGATCGTGGCAGAGCGCGAAAGGCCGGATTGCTGGGTAGTGGTCTCAGCCGCAGTAGTTTGAACTTTGCGAGGGGAGGCACATTGTTGGCTGACATTGTGCGGGGAAGACGGCCGAACGGAGCTTATGACGGCCGAGTTGGGGATTCGAGAGCATAGAGTGGGCTGATGATGGAACGAAGATGCTGCTTGTGTTGGGGAAACCGCAGCGAACGATGAGCACATCCGAGACATGGGGGGGGATCATGGCCGAGTCACGAAGCATGCGGACATAAGACGGCGAGCATTGCGATGCGCCTCTCCGCAACGCCCATACGCAGATCTCATTGACTAGCTTGGTGCCTGGTCGCCTACGATGAGTTGGTTCGTCGCCTGACTGAATACATTTGCTGGTCCGCTGACTCGTTGGCTCTCTCTCGAGGCCCCCTATCCGGCTCACCACTTACCGGGGGTCAGTTCGGGTCACCACTTACCAGCGGTGACATTCGAAGATCGTCCCTATGCATCATAGTTTACCGGCCGCTTTCAAAGCCCGTTCGCCGTCAACGAGCACACACCATCCTTCATGGCCACGTCCACCATCCCCCGCAACGACGGCGTTAAAGGCCCCCTCCTCGCGCGCATACGCAATGACGGCGTCGTCGAAACTGCCAGGCTGCAGCCAGACGGCGGGGATGCCCAGCTCGCGGGCCTCCTTGAGGACCTTGAGCGTCGCGGCAGGCGGGGTGATGATGGACACCGAAGTCTCCTTGGGCTTGGGCAACGCCGAGAGGTTGGGCACGGCGGCATGCTCCTGGCCGAGCGCCGTGACGGTAGCGGCGGTGGGGTTGACAGGCGTGGCGGAGATGGACTGAGCGTGATACCAGGCAAAGACTGCGCGCCGTTAGGTCGGACTGTCTATCGATGTTTTGGCTTGACGCAGGTAGACGAGAGGTGCAAGAAGGACAAGGGATGAATGAGGCGAGGGACAGGGCAGCAGGGGTTCAATGAGGTAGAGCTCACTCTTGTGACCAAACTTGGCCGGATTGGAGCTGGCGCCGACCACGGCGAACAGAGGAGAAGAGAAGAAGATGCGAGCGGCGGCCTCGGTCGACATGTTGGATATCTGTTTATCGTCGGACAGTCTGATTCAAGGCGTGTGGGAGAGTCAGAAAGCTCGGGGACACGGTGGAGGGGCTCGGGCGGAGTTTAGCGACGACAAGACGGAAGCTCGGCGCTCCATGGCGTCACCGGCCAATTGAGGAGTGCAGAGTCGACAAAGAGGAAAGACGGCAGCGTTAAAGCCGAAGCCAGACGAGGCAATGCGAAGGCCAATCCCACGCTGATACGACTCAACTGACCGAGGCGAGGGAGGAACGGATACTCATGATGACGAAGCCCAATGCCGACTTGCTGTTTGGTCCATTGTGAATGCTCAACAGGACTCTTTAATCTTCAACTTTGGGCCGCTTTTGCTCAAGTGACCACCATTGACTAGACGGCGTTTCGCAAACAACGCTCGGGCTTGACTGATCATGTCAGTATTTGCGTAGGACTCAACTTTATGCCAACCTGTAGAGCGTGAGCTGACGCTGCCGCAGTCGCTCAACCTTCTCTGCGGCGGGCTACGCGGCTTTTCGCCCGGCTTACCCTCCCTCTCTGTTCCGCACGGTTCTCGCCTATCATCGAGCGCCACCGGCCTCAGGCACGCTGCTGGACCTGGGCTGCGGCCATGGCCTTATTGCGCGGGCGCTGAGCCCCGAATTCGGTCGTGTCGTCGCGATTGACCCCAGCGGCGGCATGGTCCAGCAGGCATCCAAGCTGACAGACGATCCCAAGATCACGTTCCGCCAGGCCAGCTCGGAGGATCTTTCTTTCGTGCCGGACGTCTCTGTAGACCTGGTCGTCGCGGGCCAGGCATCACACTGGTTCGACTACACGAAGACATGGCCCGAGCTGGCACGCGTCGTCCGAAGCGGCGGGTCCCTCGCCTTTTGGGGCTACAAAGACAACATCCTCCTCGGCTTCCCAGAGGTCAACCAGATCCTTGAGGATGCGTGCTACGGAGAGGACGAGGTGGTGCCGGGCATGGAGAGCATGGCTGCGTACTGGGAGAAGCCGGGACGGGACATTTTGCGCGATTCTTTACGGGCTGTGGTGCCTCCGCCGTCAGACTGGACAGACATTCAGAGAATGGTGTTTGACCCGGATCGGAAGACGTCAAGCATCGCACCAGAGGACGAGGACAGAGCGTGGCTGCAAAAGAGGCTCAAGCTGGGCGAGTTTGAGGGCTATCTTCGGACGTTTAGCGCGTTCAGCGGGTGGCGAGATGCGCACCCCGAGTCAGAGAGCCGTGCAGAGGGTGGGCAGGGAGACGTCGTCGATGTCCTCTTTGACAAGATGATCGAGGCTGTCCCAGCATGGAAGGCCAAGGGCGAGGCATGGAGAGACGTCGAGGTAGATGCCGTCTGGGGCACTG